AGTTAGGTATGGCAATTAATGAGCTACCATCTGCTCACACATCACATTTTGAGTGGGACTTAACATGGTTATGGGTTTCTTTGAACACTTTTTTTTTCCCCTACCATATGTGCTTAAAGGATCCAAAAAGGAAACAGCTTAATCCAGGAATGTGAAAAAGAATGGTGACATTCTGCGGTGTGTCAAGGAAATGAGAAACTTATCAGGCACCATCTATTTCAGGGGTTTTGTGGTATTTTATGGTTCCAGGCATCTAGTAAGTGACAAAATGGCACTGCCAGGATGACTACCACATGCGTGGGGTAGAGAAGAGCACCATGGTGTAGGAGCTACCTCGAAAATTCACTTTTGGCTTTGTCTTGGACTGAGCTGACACATACAGAAAACACTCCTTTTCCTCAAGGGCCTGCCTGAGATAGCTTCTATTCCACTTGGCTTGCCCATGTTCTTTCCAATGGAAACCAATCTCACTGTACTAGATCTCCTGGTTACGTTTGTTTGTTCCTCTGGGATAGCACGTATCCCAGACTGTCCCCCTGCATGGCCTTGTGCATTTCTGTTTTCCCCTTGTACTAACCTAAGCTCCCTAAAGACATAGACCATGTTTCTTTGTATAATACAGCTGGGGCCTGGCATGATATCTTACATTGGAGGTGCTCAATATATGTTGTTGAATTAAAATAAAATTGCTTTAGAAAAACACTAAAACAATTCAGAGTGCTGACTTTAATATAAGATAGCTCAAGTATTTGCAGAAATGTCATATTGTAGATAAACAATATAATTGACTATACTCTTACTTTAAATGCTAAAAAATATATATATGTGATATTATTAAGGGGAAAACCCCTCACTCTTTATGAAAACCAGTGTATGGTTTTGGCTAAACTACATAGGCTCCATAGTGGGATCCAAATATCTGAAATTTGAAAGAATATTTCTTTGAACCTTGACATTGGGACAAAGGGTAAAAGTCTCTTAGAATATTCATGGTTAGCTTAGCATAGTTATGTCAATAAATCATTTCCATAGCTCTGTGATACCTGGAGATCACATATGTGTATGTGCATGAGTGTGAGTATATGTGTGTGTGTATGCCTTTTTATAAAGAAATATTTATTTAAAGAATATTTGACTATAGAGAAATATGAGAAATATGACAGATGTTGTAAAGCACTTAGGCATTATAGTAAATGTGTTTGAAGATGGCAAAAGTATTTTGTTTTCTAAGTATTTAAACATGACCAGCACATCATTTGTAATGTTTAAATGCTATGGGAATACTGACAGTAACAAAGAAGGGATCTAGAGTAATATAGTGAATCATTGTCTCTATCCTAGAGAGTTGGAGGCTGAAAGATGACATGATAAAAGTAACATCTGAGGAAGACGCTTCTGGAAACAGTGTCCGTGATGACTACAGCAGGGGGTTGGTCCCGGAATCATGGGGGTCATGGAGGAAGCTGGAGCATTAATCCAGATGTGAGGGTCATGGTGATTGTGAATCATAGAAATGTAAAGAGTGGATATATAAGACATGTCAAAGGAAAAATCTCTAAAAACTATATAATTCCCAAATACTGAGTTTGACAGACTTCAGTGACACATCAACAGCATAGAAAGAGAAGTGGAGAGGGGGTAGCTAGACCGGGGGACATTGTGAGAGTTTAGTTTTGGACACATTGAGTTCAATAGAGTGAGACACCCAAATGGAAATTCCCTGGCTCTTTTCCTGTTATTTTAGGACAAGTTTGTTTTCAGAGGGATGTTCTTGGGTATTTGATCTGGAGATGGCAAAAAGAAATTTACGACAAGTGAAGAACAAGCAAAGTTGGAAAATGTCGGGGTCATTGCACAGTCAAACCTGAGACATGCCACAGTGTACCGGCTGGATATTTGATCTCTCATCTTCTTGACTCTATGGCAGGCTAAATAACTGACTGTATTCTGGCTTAGACTACTGCTTTACTCATCTGTAAATACCTAGCCTGCAGTAAGTCACTAGAATCTTTCAACTATATGACTTAAACATGTAGAAAAAATATTTTCCAATGTCCCCAAATATTGAAGCCTTCAAATGCATATGAGGTAGACATAAAATCAAAGGGGTGTATTCTGACTGCAATGTTAATATCTCTGGTATTAGCCTCTTGGCAAAGTTTAACTCATCCTTTGAGAACTAACACAAGAGACTCTATGCAGCCTGCCTGAATCCCCCAGGCAATTAATTAGTCTTTCCATTGTCCATGTTCCCTCAACATTTTGTTCCTATTTCTGCTACAGCACTTGCCTCTTATTCTATGTGTCTCTTTCTTGCCACCGATTAGGAGCAACTTGAAGATGGGAGCCATTTATTCATCTTTGTATGTCTCACTCTCCTCACAGAGCGGAGGTTAGCGGGTGATAGTTCTTTGTTGGAAATATCCAAAAGAGAAATTTTTAAAATGTGGATGAAGCAATGTGCAGTTGCTGTAGCGGAGCCTGTGTACACATCATATGTCACATCCCGGCCGACACCGTTAATGCTGCACCAGCAGAGGCAGTGCTCTCATTACATACTGCTGGCCCATATTTGTAATGTGTGACATTTTTTATGAAAAACTGTCTAGGGCAATCCATCATATAGTAACCTTTGGATTATATGCTGAGACTGGTCTTAAACAGAGACGTAAATGAACTTCAAGTATAATGCTATTTTCTAGGAAGGGTACGATCAAGGAGTTCTGGCTAGGAAAATGAAGCAGAACAGTATGTCCTTTTGAGTTAAATGGCAGTGCCTGAGAGAGAGGTTTCCTTCTGTCTAGCTCCAGTTGGGGAACAGAGTTATTGTGTGAAGATGATCCAGTGACTCTTGAGATGTGGCTGAATATTTCTTGTAGAACACCAGGTAAGAATTGAGAAGGGGATGAGGACATGCTAAACGTTTGACATCCCTTAGGACTCTCCAGGTTTGTAATAACTTTATTTCAAGAAGCATTTTTTTTTTTAAAATAAAAGGACACATGAAAACTTGAGCTAATTTTAGATGTCAATTGTGATTTCATAGTTCAAGGTTTACACATAGTTTCTCTGTGTATCCATAAAGATCTAGGATTTTACTCATATTATGGAATATAAATAAAAGAAAGCTCCTTAGTCTCATCATTTTTGTGCAAATCCAGATAAGACTGCTTTGATGAGCTTAGTGTTTCCTGTTAAGGGAAAGCTTATAGGTGAGAGGAACACTAAAATTATAATTCTTTGTCTTCCTTAATTAGACTAGAGCTCACCATAGTTCTTGCTGAAGCTGTGAGAAAATCCAAGCAATAATTCACATTGTCAGGTCAGCAGAAACGGGCACAGGGGTCCTGATATGACTGAAAGATTTGCTTAAGGGATCTATATGTGAACTGAACAGCTCAGAAGAGGCACATGCTTTTCCTTGGAAAAATACTGTCTGAAGATGCTGAGCACAAACAGCAATGAAAATAAATCCCAGCATGATTCTCAATACCACCTTTAAAGATGTCATTCCAGAGGAAATATATAAATCACATTAATACCAATTGATGTGGGGCACTAATTAATAAGTCCCATTAAATCATGGAGTAATGACATTTAGCATCTAATGAATGCCTCATAATCTCTTGATCATTAATATTTCATAGCATCAGAGCAGAATTGCCATCCCTGGGCTCCTGCAGCATGGTTTCCTGTCTCTGACATGGCCCCAAGGGCATTAAGTGGCACAAGGGTATTGCACCTCTGTTGTACACATTATATACATGCACCATTAACTCTTAGATACCCTGGATCCTAATGTTTTTCTTCCTTTCAGAAAATGAAAATCTGCCTGCCATTCTTGGAATTAACATCTGTGACTACCGAGTGCCCTGGAAGAACAGAAGAGCTCAGATGTTGACTTTAGTGTGTAGCACGACTTTGTTGTTGACCCTCTCAGCCCATGAGAGAAACTTGCACAGGAGAAAAATCATTACTTTGATTTATTACTGGGGGCTTTCTTTATTCAAAGGCAATAATCACTTCACAGAGCAGGTGCCATTGCCAGGGCTTATTGATCCTATGCTTTTCTAGAAATTCCAGGAGGCTCCTCACTCCAGGGGGGAGGTGGAGGTGGTCAACGAAAAAGAAGTCCATCTCAGAGCAGGCTGAAATGAAGTAGGAGGAAAATCTCTGACTATCGTTCTGTCATTCCAGGGACACTGGGTGTCTTCTTTCAGAGGAGGGTCTGAGCTTACATAATGAAAGACTGAGAGGGAAAGAGCCCAGACAGAAGGAGCTGGCAGGGGGTCTAAGAGGCTGCACAATTCGGGCAGCAGGAGGAGGGTCCACTGCTAGAGATCAAGATTCCAGAGATTTAAATACTGCCGCACAGCCCGGGGTACAAAACAGAAGACAGTGATCAAAATCAACTTGGACAAGTGACAAGACTGAGTCTTGATGTTGGTGAATGTCTTTTAAGGTCATTGGAGGGGGAGAGGACGGGAGGGAGGTGGTGTGCTCAGGGGTAGGTGGAGAGAGGCTTCAAGTCCAGGGCAGGGATATAAAGAAACACGGATCCAGAAAGCAGAGGGACAACAGGAGTGGGGAAAAGAGCGACAGGACCAGTTGGAGAAAAGTAAGGGGAAAGTAGAGACAGGGTTAAGGGGAGAGAGGGAGATGAGAGTGAGAAAAGTGAGGACGGCAGGGAGGGATTGAAAAGGCATGAGCTCTCCCCAGAGAAGGGCGGACTGCTGGACCTGGGGATAGGGCGAGGGGCGAGGGGAGTGAGCGGGAGTGGGGTGCCCAGAGTGAGGAGAGGGGGCTGGAGAAAAGGAGGCGGGCAGGAAAGTGCGAGTGGCGCGGGGAGGGCGCGGAGCCTGGGGCCGGGGAGGGGGCGGAGGGCGCGGGAAGGAGAGCTGGGCGCGGGGAGCGGAGCGAGCGGGTGGGGGGGGCGGGGAGGCCGTGGGAGGGAGGTGGGGGGCAGGTGGGGGGAAGAGGGAGGGAGGGCGCGCGGAGGAGAGCCGAGGCCAAGTGCATTGTGTCTGGCGGCGGCGCGCGAGCCCACCGGCGGCTGCGGCGGGGCGGGAAGCCATGGAGCCGCGGGCGCTCGTCACGGCTCTCAGCCTCGGCCTCAGCCTCTGCTCCCTGGGGCTGCTCGTCACGGCCATCTTCACCGACCACTGGTATGAGACCGACCCCCGGCGCCACAAGGAGAGCTGCGAGCGCAGCCGCGCGGGCGCCGACCCCCCGGACCAGAAGAACCGGCTGATGCCGCTGTCGCACCTGCCGCTGCGGGACTCACCCCCCTTGGGGCGCCGGCTGCTCCCGGGCGGCCCGGGGCGCGCCGACCCCGAGTCCTGGCGCTCGCTGCTGGGGCTCGGCGGGCTAGACGCCGAGTGCGGCCGCCCACTCTTCGCCACCTACTCGGGCCTCTGGAGGAAGTGCTACTTCCTGGGCATCGACCGGGACATCGACACCCTCATCCTGAAAGGTGAGCGGCGGGCGCGCCCCGCGTCCCGGCTGCCGCGCGTGGAGCGCAGCCCGTGGCTTCCCAGGGGCGCGCCGGTCCCCGCGGCCACCTCCCCGCTGCGGCCCCGCGCTTCGCTGCCCGGCGCATTCTTTCATCGGTCCCCGCCGCCTCCTTTCTCCATCCCGTTCCCTTTCTTTCTCCTCCGCTTCTCTTCCTCTTCTTTCTTTCCACGATTCCTCTATCTTCCTCATCCTGCCCTTCGTATTTCCCCATCCTTCAAGTCCGTGCTCTACCCCTCTTTCCTGCTTTTGCCTGCCTCCGGCCCTCTTCTTTCCCTCTCTCGTCCTTCTCTGTGCCCACACCTGCCTGACTTGGGATGCATGTGTGGATTTTCTTGACGCGCCTCCCTGTGAGGGCAACAGTCAAAAAGACTCGATTTTTTTTCCCCATTGGGTTCCTTCCTTCAAGTTGTGCTTTCCTTTTATCAATACCTTTTGGAAGAAAAGCGTTGCAAACCTCAGAGGAGGTTTGCAATCTCTTGGATTGCGCGGATGTTGGTATCAAACTGAACTGATGTGGGCACTCCACCCTGGTGGGCTCCTGGGGAGATAAGGAAGCCCCAGAACCTTCCTCCAAACACCCGAAGTGCAGGGTTTGTGTGGATTGGACTTCACATACCAGTAGTTCACTAGGGTAGGCGTCTAAAGGCAGATAGGACACCTGAGGTATTCAGTGATAATGACCCACCCGCACCAATCCCCTGCCCCATCCCATCCCTCCTCAGGAACCAGGCAGAAGCCGAGGAGAGAAAATAGCCAAGCCCTGTAAAGTGGATGTTCCAGACGTGGCATTAAGTCTTTACATATCACTCTCCTATGTTGTGACATCTTCTAAAGAAGGTTATTTTTATTGTTTTGTTATCTGGCACTGAGTTTGCTCTTCTGAAATCTATACAACACCTGGCTTCCACGCAGGTAATCAGATAGTTTGAATTCTCTCTCTCTCTCTCTCTCTCTCTCTCTCTCTCTCTCTCTCTCTCTCTCTCTTCCACTCATGCAGAAACATCAATGTGACTATCCTTTAACTTTCAGAACTCAACCCCTAACAGAATTTTTTTTCCTTTCTGAGAGAAAAATAAATAAATACATATCTTCTTCCTTTGGACTCATTTCAAAAAAGAAAAAGCCCAATGTCTACTAAATATTTTTAATATTTAGTAGCCATTTAGGAAGGCAAATGAACAGATGTACATTAAATTACAGCTTGAAATGGATTACATAGAAAGGAGGCTAATAATGTGTTGGCTTTCTGAGTCTTGTTAGTTGGCGTATTCTTCATTTCTCAAACATGTCAACTTCCTCCTTCCCATGGCTAACCCAGCTGGGGACTGCCATCCAAACTGTCTGTACATGGAAGGACTCCAGCATTTTGGGGAGAATTGGATACAGTAATCTTCCTTTGGAAAGTGCACCTTTTTCTTTTCTCTCCTAACTTGCATCCATCTCTGGTTCCTCCTCATGAAGATGCTGCATAATTAATTCTGATAGTAGCATAGTACATGAACAAACTGTAAAAGCTGAATTTGGAGGCTCAGTTATGGAATGCTCATTTAGGCAAAGCAATTTTGAAAGCTAAGCAGTGTAGTCTGTCTTTGGAAATGACAGAACTGCATTTCCTTACACTCTTTCTATGCCTAGAGTATTTGATTGCATGTAATTTGGGTATAGTGTAATGCCTGAAACAGCAGGGCAGAGTTCAACCCACAGCAGGAGAGGGACTCCCACAAGACACTGCAGAACATTTCTGCAAATGCCCTCACTAGCTGAGGCATATAGCTCTTGTCACAGTTCAGAATCAAATGATCTTAGAAGTGGAAGGACTTTAGAGGTCAATAAATCCAACCTTTATCCCATTGTCCTACCTCCCTTCTACAATCCTGACGGAGGGTTGTCCAGGCCAGCACTTCCATTAGACAGAACCCACATACTCGTTAAAAGAATTAGAGTTTTCTAGTCATGATGCATCTTCTAGATGAAAACAATCTCAGTTTTACATTGACAGTGTTGAGCTAATCCTTTGTAGAGACCACTGAAGAGTTTGAGGTTGTGATCAGAAGACCTGGGATTCCTCCCTGGCTCTGTTGCTCAATTGTAGTTTGTTCTCCCACAAGTGTCCAAGCCAGGAGCAAGGATGGCCTTCAGTTTTGTTGTCCTTACCATTAGGAAGGCTGACTATTCTTTAGAATATGATCTAGTTCTCACATTTATCACTGTTGCAATCACAACAAAGTAAATTTAACTTTCTGGGAAATTAATGAGCTGGCACTATTAAGAAATGAGGAGCTTGGAAGAAAGGGTGACACTGGTCTGTTATAGAATCATAATTTGTTGTTTGGGAGAAGGTCAGGAATGTCTTGGGTACTTCTAACAGTACTTAGCGACTACCCTACCTTGTGTTGGTTATATAACTCTTCTGAATCTCAGTTTCATCATATGGAAAATGAATGGATGACATCAATAGCTTCAAAATCTGGATTCTCTACATAATTTGAGAATGTCATCAATATTTCCCTATCTCAGATGATTTTGGAATCTGTATTGGGTAAATGTTATTGCCTGTGTTTAGGTGTCTGACATTAGCAGCAGTGGTATGAATTCCCTAAATGAGCCATATAAAAATAGAAACTGGGGGCTGGGGTTGTGGCTCAGTGGTGGAGCGCTTGCCTAGCATATGTGAGGCACTGGGTTTGATCTTCAGCACCACATTAAAAACAAATAAATAGATGCCAGGCATTGTGGTGCACACCTGTAATCCCAGGAGCTTGGGAGGCTGAGACAGGAGAATCACGAGTTCAAAGCCAGCCTTAGCAACTGTGAGGTGCCAAGCAACTCAGTGAGACCCTGTCTCTAAATAAAATACAAAACAGGGCTGAGGATGTGGCTCAGTGGTCGAGTGCCCTTGAATTCAATCCCCAGTACCAAAAAATAAAAATAAAGAAACTAAAATAAAGTTTCAAAAAAACCCTAGAAACCGACATTACATCTAATTTAAAACTTTGGAAAACCAGAGTCCAAGTTCTTTTCTTACTTTTCTTTCTGAATTACTTTGTTTATGAAATCTAACATCCTATAGACATTTTAATTGTTTTGAAAAGTTGACTCAAAAGAATGGGGAGGAATAGGAAAGGGGTAGAAGGTCTGCCTGGCAGGTTTAGTGAGCTTTTGAGGAAAAGAAGTCAGCTTTTTTCTCTGTGGACCCACAGGACAAAGCCAGGAGGTAGGTGAAGGTTGCAGAGAGGAAAATATGGAAAACATTATCACCATCAGGATTATTTGCATTTCTTATTACTGGAGGCAAAGACAAGGATTTCTGAGAGTTGTGTAAGAGATAGAAACATACACTGTGAGCAATGAGAGATTAGTTTAGAAATGATATGTATAGACCCTATAGTATTAATCTACTTAAGAAAAGCCACATGAACCAGGATAGCATTGATCTTAATGGAGCTAGTATTTGGAAGAATCATTGAATTCTGATTTTTCACCATGTCATTATGATTCTAATTCATTTCTATCTATCCCATACCTTGGAAGTGTTTAAGATTGGACCTCTAGGATTGGGGCTGTGGCTCAGAGGTAGAGGGTTTGCCTACCATGCGTGAGGCACTGGGTTCAATCCCCAGCACCACATAACAATAAAATAAAGATATTGTGTCCACCTATAACTAAAAAATAAGTATTAAAAAAAGATTGGACCTCTAACCAGAATCTTCAACAAGAGTGGAGGTAAAATTATTGATACATTCTTTAAAAACCAAGACTAGATCCTTATGCTGCTCCACCAAGCTGATGAAGAACAGTTAACTCACAAGTATAGTTTGAGGACAGTTGTTTTTCGGGTAGTAAGTTCTCTTTATAGCACTGTATTCACCAATCCACACGCCACTATCTTGCACACCAGGATGACATGAGATTTTATCAAATGCTTCAGAAATAATTGGTTTGCATTATAATTCTGTAGTTTACTATCCAGCTCAATAAAATACCCATAGAAACCTATTATGTACAAGGTAATGCCAGGAAGGTTTTGGCTACACATATGGAGTTCTGATGTGTTTAAATCTAAATTATTTTACCACATAGACCCTTCTTGCAGCACTGGCTAACTTTCGACACTACGGAAGATTCGCTGGTCAAAGGACTGGCTCTGAGAATAAGAAATGAAGTCATCTTTCACCCAGGCGTAGGAAGTCTGGAATAGCTGGGGGAGCCTTGTGGTAGGGACTTGAACAGATGGACTTAAAGCTTAGCGGTTTTGGCATCCCCGTGCCATTGGGAGTGTGGGGGAGGTTTGAAAGAAACCTTTATGTATAAAAGTCATAAAAAGCTTATAAGGCAAGTGGGTTTGCATGATTTATGTTTGGGTCCCAGGCAATGAGAGGAGATGACCTAAAGATATTCTTGATTGATTGATTGATTCATTATCTGTTTATTCACCCAACAAATAGATCCTGGAGTATTGACCTAGGTATAGGAGATTCATGTAGAGTGAACAAGAAGGATCAAATGCCTGCCTTAGAGTTTATTTTCAAGTAGTGGCATTTGTATTTTGTGGTGGATTACATGGTAACTACTTCAAGTAGGTGTGGAAGATTACCTAATGCAGGCAGAGAGCACGGAAGGATGATAGTACTGGTGAAGTAAATGACAGAAAATCTAGTGCAAAGWGACGGAGCGCTGTGCCCTTTGGGGGACTCCCGGCCATTCTGTTCTGAGTACAGTACATGTGTTTCAACTAGTGGATGCTTAGTAAGATAGGAAGACAGATGGAAGGAGACTCAGTGGGGATGTTACATGATGCTTCTTTCAGTTACTGAAAGCACTGACTTTAACAAATAAACATTGATAAGACTTGTGAATACACCATGTAGAACTTTGGAGAAATCAATTTTGAACAGGAACCCGAGTTACTGAAATTATATTGGAAGTTCCAACTGTTCTACTAGCTTCAACTTGAAATTT